GCTGAGGGACATATGGGAACTCCTGCATGATTATTATATCATCAGGTAGCAGTGTAGATGATGTGGCTCCCAGCACACATCTTAAGCTGCTGCAGAAAAATGGAGTGCTTTCTTGCTTTTGATTCCGGGGTTTCCTCTGTAAACAGATGCTTCCCTCTTGAATAAAATTTAAGATATGTGTACCTAGGGCTTCCACATGTAGGGACACAGGAAGTCAAGGTATGGGGTTTACGGTCACCTAGGAACAGAGTAGAGGAAATTCAAAGTCCTTTGCTCCACAGATGGGGAAAGTGAGGCCTGGAAGAAACATTTACTTAGAAGAATGGACTGCAAACCTTGCTTCCTTTGTATTCCTAGCCCAGGAGGGGATAATCTTATGAAAGATCCCCCTCCCCGACTTCAAACTCTTAGGTTGTTATGATTTGGATCTGAGATGTCCCCCAAATGTTCATGTGTGAGACAATTCAAGAGGGTTTAGGGGAGAAATGACTGGGTTGTGAGAGTCTTAACCCAATCAGTGAGAGGCAACTGAAGGTGGGTAGTGGGTGGCTGGAGGATATGGATCACTGGGCGTATACCTTTGGGGTATATATTTGGTGAGCTGAGCTTAGTCTCTCTGTGCTTTCTGCATCATGTGAGCTGCTTTCCTCTGCCACAATCTTCTACCATGATATTCTGTCTCCCTTGAGCCCCCAAGGGATGGAGCCTGCTGTCTATGAAGTGAGACCTTTGAAATCATGAATCCCCAAATAAACTCTTCTTGCTACACAATTGTTCTGGTCAGATCGTTTAGGCACAGCAATGAAAAAGCTGACTAAAACAGGTTGTTTATTGCATAAATATTCTAAGTTATCAAGTTTGGCTCGAAAGGAAAAAGCTTTTCCCATTCTCAGGTGGCCACTGGAAAAATACTCCAGAGATTCAGGTCCCATTGGGTGGGGAAGGGTCCCATCAGCAGCATCATAAGACAATGCCCTCAATTGTGCCTCCCTAAACAGGCCCCTTGGCCCACACTCAGGCTACATCCTCCACAGGACCTTCTGTCTACCTTGTACCTAGCACCTGGTACCTGGTACCAAGGTAGAGACTGCAGAGTAGAATCCAAATTAGCAGAGTGGCTATGTCAGGTAGCCTCAGCTCTCTCTTAGATGCTGAGGATCCAGATCTTTGGGGCAATGTTTAGCACAACAGGGATTGACTCGATTATCTGCTTTGTGTCTCTTTTCCCCTTCTCTGTCTCTTGCAAGTGACGCTGCCTTGTGAAATAGCTGTGCTGGTGCTGTCCCACCACCTGGCCTCCTTGATCAGGTTGAATTCTGTGCTTCTTCAAAGCATGACTTAAGGGCTTCTCCTTCCACCATGGAACTGTGTGATGAGGTGCTTTCTCCCACTTGCCCCAGTTTCCTCATCTGTAAAATGGAGATCCAGTGGCTCCACCATATAGGTTTGTTGCAAGAGCCAATAAAAGAATGACTGGTGCTTTACATAGTCATGTGGCCCAGATCTGTAGACTTGCAGGAGCCCACAGAAAGCTCCTCGGCAGAAACAATGTCAATAGACAAGTCTTCTCTTTATGCTAATGCAGTGGTTACATAATACTAGTGCAATCCTCCCCAGGTATAATGGTTGCAGAGAGGAAATCTGATTCCCCCTGGGGCTGGGGAGGGAACAGGTGCTGTGGGTGGCTGTAGGCCATCATCCCAGGATGACAAGAAGTGCTCAGTCAAATTCTTAAAATATTCTAAAAGAGAATTCTTTGAGATTGCCCAAGGTGCATGCACCATGTTTGATATAAGAGATTCCTGGCCCACTCTTGAGGATATAGGGAAATTTTTAAATGACAGATTTGAGAATCCCCATTAATTCTATATCCTGGATGCCATTCCAAAAACATGATCTAAACTACTTTTATAACTCTTTTTGTTGTTGGTGGTGGTGCTGACAATCGCCAGTTCCAGGACCTCAAGAGTGCTAGGCAAGTGTTCTACCACTGAGCTACACCCCCCAGGCCCTAAACCTCTTTTTTTTTTTTTTTTTTTTTGAGGCCAGTGGGCTTCCTTTCATCAAGCTCCTGGGGCTGATTTGCTCTGAGAATAAACCAGCAGGAAGCTAGGAATCTTCCCACCTAAACCCACCTCCAATTGCCCATCAGCCTTCCTTGCTGCCTTAAAAAGCCACCATGAGAAGGCAATTTCTCTAGTCCCTCTTGGGAACCAATCAGCTAGAGAGAGAGGTCAATATCTATGACTAGTCACTGAGATGTCTCAGGGCTGAGCAGGGCAATTTTCACTTTAATGAGTATATTATTCTGCAGCTGGATCTTTTTCATTTAATAAATCTTGGATACCTTTCATTTCAGGCTTGCCATGTATCGTTTTTAGTTGCCACATAGAGAAGGAAGAACCACCCTATAATCAGAGTTGTTGGGCAACAGTAGAGCAGCCTGGGAAGAAAGTGAGCCTTCCATCACTCACTTTGATGAAGTGGCCAAAGAGAGAGCAGCTGTAGGTTAGCGATGGCAAGGATTCCTGCACTGGGTAAGAAGGTTCTACTAACAAGAATACCTAGTTGAACTTCACTGAACGATCACTATGTCCCTATGCTTTTCATAGGTTATCTCTTAGGATCATCACAGAACTAACTCTATGAAATAGGTATTGTCCTTATTCCCATTAGTACAGAGGGAAAAATGGAGGCTCTGAAAAGTTAAGAAAAGTCACAGAGCTAGCGAGAGACAGAGCCTGGAATCAAACCTCTTGGGTCCAGGCTCTTGATCTTCATGCTAACATCCACCCTCAAAGGAGATCCCTAAGCAGGCACCCTACTCTTTCTGGGATTCAGGGAACCCCCATTGCCAAGGCAGCTGCCATTGGTATATTGTTAGGTGAGACCTGAGTGGCTGGTAGTGACTTAGCTAGAGAGTAAGACCCGTGAAAGATGCCCATCTTTGAGGGAAGAAGACAGTAAGAATGTCTTCTCCAGGACATGGTTATCCTTGAAGGGGCAGGAGGCCACCATCAGGATGTGCTCTCCAACTGACACCCAGGACCCTCAGGACCCTGTCCCATGAACAACTGAGATCCCCGGGTCTTGCATGCTCCTCCAGGGACTGCACCAGCCAGATCCTGGATATTTTGATCTGATGTTCTTCTGATCTGTGTGCACAGGACTTAGCCCTGCGCCTGGAAGGAGATGAAACCGTTCAGGACCTGGCACATCTTGTCCTAGCAGCTAACTTTCTGGAAGCCAGCCAGTGCCAGGACACCTGACCCACACAGAACTGGCTCCTGGAAGACCAGAATATCATCAGTCACTCCCCAGAAAACTGTTGGGTGGGTTTCCAACAGATGCCTTTTACCGAAAGGATAGAAACAGTAGGAAAAAAATTTGCAGGCACAGATTCCTTAGGCAAACAATAGTTCCGCAATCTTCCATTTATTGAGTGCCTGCTATAAGCCAAGAACTTGACAAAATGTGACTTCTAATGTTGTTTTTGCTGCTGCTATCACTCAAACCAGGTAACATGGATGGAGCACCTATGTCAGCCCTGGGCTTCATAGGTAGTACTGGGAATGGTTCAGTGAAGTGGTTAAAATTGAAATAGACGGCCCTTGTCTAGATTCTGGCTGTCCACTTTGTGACTGTGACCTTTATTGGACAATTAATTGAAACTTTCTGTACTATACTTTGTTTTCACCCATGAAATAGAAATAGGAAGACATAGAAAGCATAGTACTGAGCACTAAGTACATATTGTCTTTTATTTTTTTATTAGCATCTCATTTATTAACAACAACAAAAATTGACTTGCCACTATTATTGTTATCACTCCCTGTTTTATTGATGAAGTAAGAAAAGCACAGAGGGTTCCAGTAAATTTCCCCAAATTAAATAGCTAATAAATGGCAATGCCAGAATTTAAACCTAGGTTTCTCTGGCTCCAAAATGCTCACTTTTTACTGTCAACTAAACTGCCTCTTGGGACTCTTGAAGCTTAATGTAAACATTCAGGAGTTCCTGACATTGTTTCTAGTCATTGACATTATGCTGAAATGTCAAATATTCCCACTGATAGGAATAAGCGGCACATCTGGAGGAATTGCTTAAGTTGATCAAAAAGTTTGAGGGCCTTCCACAAGGAATTTAAATAACAAATCTTCCAAAGAAGATGTGAATGGTGACAAGTGAGAATCCAAATGGAGGAGATTGCTGGGGTGACCCAGGGAGACCCCTAGACCAGGCAGGAGACAAACATACCCTTCTTGGTCTGCCACTAACTTGCAGCATGACCCAAGAAGTTATTAGCCATCTGAGGAGTGTTTGTGAGGTTGAGATTCAACACCCTTCAAAAGGCCTTCCTGAGTCAATGAATATCTTCATTCAGTCAGTCACTCAACATTTTATTGACCGCTTACTTTGTACCAAAAACTATTTTAGGAGCTGGAAATGCAAAGCTAACAGCAATATGCATGTGGTCCCTGTCTTCACTGAGCTTGGAGGGGAAGAGAGAAGCAAATCAATATGGACCACAAAGTGAAGGTTGCTCAGAGAGCAACAGAGCAGTAGCATCTCAAGGAAGGCTCCTGACCCAGTTCAAGGGCTGGGTGAGTTTTCCATTTCTTCTGAGAACCAAAGATGAAGTAGGAGTTAGGGTTGATGGGGGCACGGGGAAGAGATTTCTGAGAGGAGGGCACAGATTTGTGGATTTGTGAACCTGGTATATCTGAAGAAGCAAGTGAAATTTAATGTGACTGGGTCTCATGGACAAAGGGGAAGAAACTGGCCAGAAAAGAGACCAAAGGCAAGCAGGGCCTTGACTTCATGCCAGACCCTGTCAGTCCTATTAAGAATGGTGATTTCTATCTTTAAACTGTTCAGGGGAGCCCCAAGGGTTTTAGGCTGACTTGTAATTTGGAAAGATCACCCTGGCTCCATGGGGAGACTGAACCAGAGACAGGAGGTAGCTATTGCCACAGTCACTGCAAAAGATAGTCCTGTACCTGGTGTGGAGGCAGGTCCTGGAGAAAGCAGGCAAGAGGTGAGGACAGCTAAGACGGCAAATAGGCAAGGCTTGGTCTCTGCTGCCTCAAGAGCGTCCAGGAAGAATGTACCAGTGGCACCAGGCACCCTGGGCTCTGACCTCCAGCTTGGCCTCCCTGGGCCCTGAGTAAGGCCTTCTCTACTCTGAACACATGCTCCTGAGTGACACTGGCTCTCTCTGTGACATCACATCCCCCTCTTTTTGCTCCCAGCTCAGGCACTGACCTTTTGTTATCCTGAGCTTCATTTGTATCCATCTAGTCGCCAACTGGTCAACCTGCACTGGCCAGCTCTGAGCCACATCTTAATGTGCTAAGAAGGACACTTCTGTCTCTCCCACCGCTCCCCTTCCTTTCGGGACCATCATTTCTGCAAACAGCACCACTCTTCAATCAGCCTGCTTTCAAACACAGGCCGCCCTTAGCCATGCAGAGCCGTATGGCCCCTGCCTCATGACCGTGCATCTCTGAAACTTTGGGTTTGGCTTAGCAGGCAACAGCGAGGGGCTGGAGAGAGAGAGCAATTATCGGCCTTCAAGACTCCGCCTGCGCTGTTGGCAGGAATGTTTTTTCCCTGGGTGTCAATACAAGCCCAGGGTCATTTTTCAGGGCCTGCCAATGGCTGTAATTGCATAGGCCTGAGTGGCTCTCCAGAGAATCCCTGCTGCTCTCCATTCTCTCCTCCCGGACACTGCTCTATAGACGCACCCCAGGCCATGGATCATGTTTTTCACATAACCCGTTAATTACTAAATAAAACAACCCAGCTTTCAACCTGATTAGCCCAGATTAATGGCCAGCAGCGGGTTTCACGCGCCTGCACAATTTATCACAGAAAAGAACTGCGTCTTTAATGATTTAGCTACCTGGCCTAGCAGGGCCTGCTCAGGGCCACAGCCCCTGAGAGGAGTTAATTGCTGTTCTTCGTTTCTGACCTGGAAAGGCCCAGGTGACAGTTCCCATTAGCCAGGCTTGGCCTGCCTGATGACAAAGGATGGCAGAAAACCCTTCCCTCCCACTTTGTTTGGAAGATATATGGAGGTCAAGTGTCCCCAGCCCCACCACCCCAGCTGCCAGTCGAAACAGGTTGAATCAACCTGTAAATTGGCATGCTTCCCTCTCCGCTCGGCCCTTTCTTCCTTCTTCAAAATGCTGAGAAAGTGAATCTTTTTATTTTATTATTATTTTTTTTATCTTTAATTGTTAAATTTCACCAAAAAGTTTTAGGAGCAAATCAAATGAGAAAACCGGTTCATTGTTCGGATTCCTTTTTGTTACATTTTAGCTTTTCTAGAAAACAGAGTGACAGAATTTATTTAATCATTTATCACAGAAAGATCTTTTGATCAAAAGGGTTTTCAAATGTCAAAACTAGTCCCCAGCATCTGATTCAGCTGTTGTGTTTTCCAGACAAGGACACTGAGACTCAAAGGACGGGACTCAGATATCCAAGGTGGCCCCAGAGAGTCAGTAGTTTACCACAGGGGATCTCTTCCCAGCAGCCAGCACTGCCAGACCAAGGCCACCAGGGGGCTGACAGGGCTTCTTGAATGTGAAGTGTGACAATACCGGAAGGGGTCATGAAAAACCTCCTTTAGACATCTTTTTATTTACTAGTCCCCAAACCCGTGAGAGAGGAGAAAGAGAGACTCTTTCTTATTTTTCTAGTGAAAAGTCCTAGCAATTATTTTGTATCAGAACGGTGCCATCCTGTAGAACTTCCTGCAGTGGTGGGAATGTCCTGCATCTGCATTGTCCCAGATAGCGGCCACTACTCCCAGGTTTACATTAAGGCCATGGTGACAAAATTTTCATTGTTGTTATACAGAAATACAATTGACTTTTCATGTTAACCTTATATCTTATAAACTTACTGAATTGATTTATTCTCCTTTTTAATTCATGGAGTTAATTCTTTTAGAGAACTTTAAAGCTTATAGAAAAATTGAGTACAAAGAAAAATTGAATAGATGTTGGCCTCCCACCTCTAAGGATTCTACATTCATAGACTCAATCAATTACAGGTCCAAAATATTTGAAAAAAATTAAAACTGCATTAATACAGAATATGTACAAGCTTTTTTCTTCTTTAACCACTACAGTACAACAAGAGTTTATACACTATTTACATTGTATTATGTATTACACCCCATCGAGAGATGGTTTAGAGTCTCTGGAAACGTGTGTAAGCTAGATGGAAATACTATATAAGAGACTTAAACATCCATAGGTTTTTGTGTCTTAAAGGAGAGGGGTCCTGGAACCAATGTCCCATGGCTACCAAGTGGCAAATACAAATATTTTTCAATATACTTTATCCAACTGCCTACCCTATTAACATCTGACATTGATGCCGTACATTTGTACAATGGATAGACTCTATCAACACATCATGACTAGCTACAATTCTTAGTTTAGGACCATGTGTGTCATCTGTTTTCTGGAAAATGCATACTACCTTGTATCCACCATTACATCATCATTCAGAACATTTCACTGCCCGAAAATTCCTCTGTGTTCTCCTGATTGATTCATCGTTCCCCTCTCTGCAAAACCCTGGTCACCACTGATCTTTTCATTGTCTCTATAGGTTTGCATTTTCCAGAAAGTCATATAGCTGAAGTCATATAATATGTAGCCTCTGTATATTTTAGATAACTGTCCTTTAGTGAATGTCTTTTGCAAATATTTTCTCCCAGAGTGTAGATTGTTTTTTTCTCTTTTTCTCGACTGTCTTTTGCAGAGCAGGCATTTCTAATGTAATGAAGCTCATCTTCTCACTTATTTCTTTCATGGATCCTGCATTTGGTGTTATTCCTATAAAGTCCTCAACAACCCAGGGTGTTCTAGATTTTCTGCTATGTTATTTTTAGGGTTTTTATAGTTTTGCTTTATACATTTGGATCTCTGATCCCTTTGAGTTAATTTTTGTTGAAATCTGTATCTAGATTCATTTTTCTTTTCTTTTTTTTTTTTTGCATGTGATTTTCCAGTTGTTCTGGCATCATTTGTTGAAAATACTATCTTTCCTCCATTGTTTTGTCTTTGTTTCTTTGTCAAAGACCAGTTGACTATATTTATGTGGGTCTATTTCTGGTCTCTCTATTCTGTTTCATTGATCTATTTTTCTATTCTTTCTCCAATACACTGTTTTTGGTTAGTAGACCTTTATATAAAGTCCTGAAGTCAGGAAGTATAAGTCCTCCAACTTTGTTCTCCTTCAATATTGTTGGGACTAACTCACATCTTACACTATTGAGTCTTCCTATCCACAACCATGAACTGTTTCTCCATTTCTATCACCAGAGATTTGTAGGTTTTCTACTACATATCTTGTAAACATTTCATTATATTTATACCAATGTATTGCTCTTGGGGGATGCTAATATAAATGGCATTTTGTTTTTAATTTCAAATTCCAATTGTTTATTTTTGGTATGTATGAAAGTGTCTTGGGAGGCTGAGGCAGGAAGATTGCAAGTTTGAGGCTAGTCTCAGCAACTTAGTGAGGCCCTGTCTCAAAATAAAAAATAAAAATATTGGGGGATGTAGCTCAATGGTAAAGTGCCCTTGATTTCAATTCCCAGTACTACCAAAAAAAAAAAAAAAAAAAGAAAGAAAAGAAAAAGAAAGGAAGGAAGAAAGGAAGAAAAAGAGTTTTATTTCAATTCCTAATTTATTTACCACTGATTTCCAAACAAACATTTGCTTTTATCATCATGATTTCCCAATTTCCTTTCCTCTTTTTTAAAAGGCCTAAATTTCAATTTAGGCAAAATAAAGTCCTTAACTCCTAACTTTATTTTCAAATCTAACCACTGCATTTAAGTGGTTGAAGCAGCCTTTTCACTAAGACCATATTAAAAATGAAGAAGGAAGAAAGCTCTTGCCCTTCCCATATTCAAAGCCAAAGCAAAGACTTTGAAAGCCAAGTAGCAGTGCTGAAGGGCATGTACAGCCAATAAAGGAGTCCCACACGGTGCCCACCTCTCAAGACACGGGTGCTTGGGCTGCTCAAATAGCCTTGGAGGAGCATCCCAGCAGATACAAGTTGATACCCCATCACCAAGTTTCACCTGCCATGAGGAGGGCAGAAGACCACACCATAACATGAACCAGATCAAACAGGCTGTGAAGAAGCTCTGAGACATTGATGTGGCCAAGGTGAACACCCAGTCAGGCCTGATGGAGAGAAGAAGGTGTCCATTCAACTGATTCCTAATTATGATACTTTGGATGTTGCCAACAAAATTGGAATCTTCTGACCTGAGACCAGTTGGTTAATTCTAAATAAATAAATACTTTTTTACCATAATAAAATAAAATAAATGACTTAAGTTATGCAAATTTCTATATGGGACTGTTATTAATTAGGAATTAATGAAGCAATCCATGTTCTAAGTGAAAATCATTCCTTCTTACAACTCCAAATTTCCTGGAAAGAATGATTTCTTCCTCCAAAGAACTTCTTTTTAGAAGTTTCCTTAGCAAGAATCTGTTTATGATGAAATTTCTCATTTTTATTTGTCTAAAATGTCTTTAATTTGTTTTTTTTTTCTTGATTGATGCCTTAATTTGGTTCATAATTCTTGGTTGATATTTTCTTTTGTACTTTGTCTTTCTGTTGACTTCAGCAATATACAATCTGTATATTTTTTAGATATTTCTTTTAGTTCACAAATTCTTTCTCTAGGTGTTTGTAATTCATGTTTAGAATTAATTTAGATTTTTCTCATTAATTTAGTTTTTAATTATAATAATTATATTTTCCCATGCTTAAAATCATACTTGTTTGCTTTCCATAAATGTCTGAGACTTTTTGAAAGTCTTTTGTTCCTTGCTCATGCATTTTATTCCCTCTTGCTTCCTGAAACATCTTTTATTTCCTTAGAACATACTTTTAAAAAAAATCCTGTTATCTATATTCAATTTTTCATGTGTTTTAAAATTTTCAATTGTAAGCTCATATGCAGCTGAATTTATCTGTGGGAACCCATGAGGTTTAGCTATATTTTAAGTACGTGATTACAAACAGAATGTGCATTTACTTTGGCTAGGTGACCCTGGGATGCTATGATTCCAGACTAACAGTAATTCTTGGGGCTGTTGTAGTAGCTC